CCTTTTTTTTTTTTGCGGTACGCGGGCCCCTCACTGTTGTGGCCTCTCCCATTGCGGCGCACAGGCTCCGGACGCACTGGCTCAGCGGCCATGGCTTAAGGGCCCAGCCGCTCCATGGCATGTGGGATCTTCCCGGACCGGGGCACGAACCCGTGTCCCCTGCATCGGCAGGCGGACTCGCAACCACTGCACCACCAGGGAAGCCCAAGGATGTAGCTTTGACATGGAAGCACATGGCCAGCAGCAGGCTTTTGAGAGATGTTCCAGGTGGCTGTGGGCTGAGTTTGGCGGTAGCCGCTGAGGATTTTGAAGCGTCTCCTTTCCAAACTATAAGATGAGGTAATTGTCTTCCTTGTTCAGGAGGATGTGGTGAGTATAAAATGTGCTAACGTGTGTGCCAGCACTTTAGAAAGGCTGGTACTGTATCAAGGGAGGTCATGTTGTCCACCTCTGTTTCCTCTATCACCCTTTTCAATTCTCACAGTCCCTCTGAGACTGTCTTTACCATTTACTTCTGCCCTGTACTCTCCCACTTTCCTTCCTTCCTTGGGCAGAGGAAGCCATGAGTTAAAAACATATGTGTGTCTGGTTCCATATCTCTTTGTCTCTGTCACTTCCAGATACGTATTTGAAATGCTGTTGTGTCTGTCTCAATCTGTGTATGCATGTTAGGACTGTCGGGGAGAATATGGCTCCACGCTTGATGGGAACACGCTGCTCTGGGTGTGTTTATGGCATCTTTCGTCACTTCTCCTGCTGTACATGTGCTCTTCCTGAGTTGTAAGCATTTTTGATAATAAGAAAAATGTTCTCTTAGATTAAACCTAATATTTGACCTCCTACTACCCTGATAAAACAACAGAGTTTTTGCACCTAGGGTACCCTGCCTTTTTTCTAATAACCTGGTTGACGGTACCATAGAATCAGTTCAGAGGTGAAGTTTTCAGTGCAAGATGCCACTTGGGCTGGTGTATGAGGGTAAGAGATGAAACTGAATCCTAAACAGTAGAAGAGCTGAGCTTCTTTGCTTACATTTTTCCTTTGCCCTTTCACAGTTAAAAAAAAAAAAGATGACCTGTGTGAGAGGGTGGGGTGAACAGCAGGGAGAGCCTTCTAGTAATGTATCTTGGCGGAATCCTGACACCTTTTGTGGGGAGGGGCCTCATTAAGTTAAGTGTCCCCTGAAAAGCCGTCACGTTAACCTCTTTTGGCCTGAATTTTTGTGGTTTTTTTAACCAACCTTAGGTTGGAGGCTCTTGCAAAGGTAGAAATGTCTTCTGTGGACACAAAGGAATGAAAACATGATTCATTGAGTTTTTGTCATTGTGATGGAAACAAGGCAGGGAGCTGTCCTGTGGGATGTGCTGAAACTCCTCAGGGCCTGGGAGGTAATGGAGGGTCTCGTTCAGATTACTTACTGGGGGTTTGATTCTGTGAGCAGCTCGGCCCCATGGCACTTCCCGTGTCTCCCTTTCACAGATCCCTTCCACCCCAGAGCCTCAAGTCATCCAACTACACTTTTGGAAGCCACTGTCTATTCAAACCCATCACTGTGTAACAAAATAATGAGAAAATTCCTCATTAGATCATGGAAATGCAGAGGAGCCCCTGTTGGATTAGCTGACACACTGCTGCTTGGAAGAGGAGCAAAAAATGCTGGTCTAGCCGGGGTCTCAGCTCAGTCTCATTCTCCCTGAGCCCAAGGGTCAGGCCGGGGATGGTGGGGAGGCAGGCAGAACATGCGTATGTTTATTCAGCCCAGCAGCACTCACTGAGTGCCTGGTGATGGAGCAGAAAGACATAACCTTCCCACCTCCTAGGAGGGGAGGTGAACAGATGTGAACAAGAGAACAGGATTGCTCACTGTGGTTGGAGGGCCAGAAGCCGCAGGGCAGCACTCAGCCCTGACTCGGTCCTGACTCAGCCTGGGGATGGAGAAGAAGGATCAGGGCTCTCTTCAGGTGGGGATGCTCGAGCTAGGTCTTAAAGGAGGAGGGGCTTTAAATGGGTGGAGGGAACCGGGAGGGGTGACAGGAAGGGCACGCCGGACAGGGGAGTGCCTGCAGATGTCCTTTAAAAAGTCAGTTCGGGGCTTCCCTGGTGGCGCAGTGGTTGAGAGTCTGCCTGCCTACGCAGGGGACACGGGTTCGTGCCGCGGTCCGGGAGGATCCCACATGCCGCGGAGCGGCTGGGCCCGTGAACCATGGCCGCTGAGCCTGCGCGTCCGGAGCCTGTGCTCCGCAACGGGAGAGGTCACAACAGTGAGAGGCCCGCGTACCGCAGGTCTTTGCAGAAGCGAGGATCCTCATTTGGGGAGTCTCTTAGCATGGCCAACATCGGGGTCTGTGCCTGTTTTTGTAAATAAAGTTTTATTGGAACACAGCCACACCCATCCTCCCCCTGTCGTCTGTGGCTGCTTTCCTGCTACATCCCAGACAGAGACCATGTGGCCTGCCCAGACTAAAATATTTATTGTCCAGTCCTTTACGGAAAAATTTGCTGACTCTTAGCATAACATTTTTTTATTTCTTGAAACTCTTAAATGAAGAGGACCCACACTGCCAGCAACTAGGCTTTGCCTGCAGCCTTCACGGACCTGCTGGTTTATTTTAACACTCGGCGATTTCTCTTCGTCCTGCACTGCCATACCTCCAACTCACCTCATTTCAATAACTTCTGGCTCTGAACATCTGGAACTAGAGTAATACCTCTTGTGTGTAAAGAAAGGGGAGTAATTTACCCCTGAGTATCTCAGATGTCTGATTATCCCAACCCTCGGCTGTTTTGGACTCTGCTTAATTTCTCGGAACCTCTGCTGCGTCTTACTTGCTTAAGTAGTAAACAAAATTGGAATTTAAAATAGTGATAGGAGCAGTAGTCATTGGAAAGCACTTCTTTTCTTTGTTGAGGGAGCCCGTCTGTCAGTGGATTCTGGAGCTGGCTGTCCCCGTACACATGAGAGAGAAGGGGAGCTTTAGGGAGAGCCACCATTCAAGCCTGCATTTATTTTAAAAACGAAGAGAATGCATTTCCAGAAGCATGTGCATTTGAAATATTGCTTTCCTGGGTATAGTGAGTGAAAGTTGCGTGGAATTATACAGCCAATGCCAACTTTTAAGCACCTGCCATGGTCTGTGGTATCATGTGATGGGAGTGCCAGACCAGGCTTTTTACAAATATTTAAGGTATTAAATATTAACTTAAATATCTTATAAGACCTGGATGAAATAGAGGTGCAGTTATTCCGATTTTACAGATGGGGAAACAAAGCCTCCAACAAACTGTCTTCCATGTGAACAACTAACAGACACTGCCTCCGACCTATGATAGGAGGATATTGATTTTACACTCTAGTTATCCTTAGGTTGATATTGTAGTTTGGGATCTCATTTCCGATTAGTACTTGGTGTGGGAAACTGTCAGCAGTGAATAATTGGGACATCCAAGCATGTGCAGAAAATATAGTTGGTCCAAAAACAGAAGCATGTAGGTTTAGGGTTGTCGGCCTTTCCAGCTGAAATGATTGTTCCTAAACAAAAAACTGATGGTAACTACCTTCTCCTTAAAACTTTTCAGTGCTCCGCCACCCAGGCCCTTAGTACAAAGACCAGAGTCTTTATTTTGGTGCTTGAGGCCTTTCTGGTTGGGCGCCGCCTCTCAGTACCTCGTACTAATTCACTCCAGTCAGACCAGGTCCTGCATTTGGATGTTTTCCTGAACACCATCTCTACCGTGTCCCTCTACCTGGCTCGCTGCTTCATCTTCACATCTCAGCTGACATGTCACTGGATCCAGGGAAGCCGCGTGTCCTTCCCTTGCCCCGCCCTAACATAAGGCCTTTTACAGTGCTGTTCAGTTGTTTACTGGTTTGTCTGTTGTCCATCACTAAAGCTTCTGGGAGGCATTCTTTTCAGTTTTGACTCTGTAGTTACAAGGAATAGGAATCTACTCTAGCTTGCTAATACAAAGGGAGTTTATTGGGAGGAAATAGTGGAAGAACAAGGAGATCTTGGTGGAAATTTAAGAACCGGGTCTGTAAGAAGGTGCACCTTGCAGATGCATCTTGTGGCTTTCTGAGCACATGGTTCTCTTCGCCTTTCTCTCTCCTGTGGGCTGCCTCAGCTCAAGCGCGTGTCTGTTTTGTTTTATTGAAGTATAGTTGATTTACAGTGTTGTGTTAGTTTCAGGTGTACAGCAAAGTAGTTTCGGTTATTTTTATATATATATATATATATATATATGTACACACACACACACACACACACACATATATCTATTTTCTTCAGTTGCTTTTCCCTTATAGGTTATTATAAGATATTGAATATAGCTCCCTGTGCTGTACAGCAGGTCCTTATCGTTTATCTATTTTATATATAGTAGTGTGTATCTGTTAATCCCAGACTCCTAATTGATTCCCCCCGCTTCTCCTTCAGTAGCCATAGGTTTGTTTTCTATGTCTGTGTGTCTGTTTCTGTTTTGGAAATAAGTTCATTTGTACCACTTTTTTAGATTCCATAAGTGATAAGCACACGTGTTCATGAAGCTGCTCATGGCCTCAGTTTGTCCTCATAGCCTAGCCTGGCCTCGCCGGCCCTGTGACCCTCCTAATCTCATGACTTCATTTCCTGCTCCCCACTCGTATGGTTTCTCAGTTTCCCAGTTGCAGATTTTCAGGCAATCACTCTGGTTGGCCCGGCTCAACCTTTGCGGCTGGGCCATGCATGTCACAGGTCTCTGGCCGTGCTGGAGGTGGGCTCTGGTTGGGTCAGGTCCTCCCTGCAGACCAGTCAGAACTGTCGTCAGCTGGAGGGGCTCCCAGGATAGACGTCTCTTTTCCTTTTCTCTCTCTGACCCTCACTTGCAATAAACTTGATAGTATCCTTTGTTGTTTTTCCTCCTTTTCAGATATCATTAATGGAGCTCAAGAAAAATGCGTATTGCCTCCTATGGATGGCTACCCCCACTGCGAGGGGAAAATTAAGGTAAGGCAGAAGGGATGTCCATTCGTCCCCATCCTCCTTAATCTGCACGAACAGCTCCTTGCTTCCCCCACCCTCCCTTCTTCTCCCCGGCGATACACATGGGCAAGCGAGCCCTTTAAGGGAGTCATTTAAGGGGCGCCTCAGTCCTGCCAGTTAGGGGCTGTGGCCATGACAACCCTTCCCTGCTTATGCCAGCTGTGTGGGGTTAGTCAACAGTGACTAAGTGGTCAGACTGAAAGGGCTGGGCCATTGCAGGCACCTGCGGTGGCTTTGAAGCTGTCACTTGCCACTCCCTTCCCATCCTCCAGCAGGTGATTCTTCAAGGGCCAAGGACAAGGGGCTGCCATTATTTAGTATCCACCTTCCCTCTGCCCCAGGCCTCTGCTGTGAGGTCTCCAGATCGAGATTTCATTGTCACATTTGCATGTGCAGTCGAGTACCCAGACACTCTTGGCCACTCTTTGACTCTTAACATTTTTTTTTTCATCCCATTTATACGGCCAGCCCTTGGGGAGACCACTCTCCTTGGCAGTAGTTTGCAGAGAAAAGTTAGTGTTCAAGCGCCACGTAGGATGGTGAGACCAAACCACAGAGCATTTACCTAGCCTCCATTTGGGACTCACCGCACGCTGAGCTCCTGCCCTCGTCTGTGCGCTCTCTTCCAGGCACTGTGCCGAGGCTTGTGAAACTGTAGTTCTCCGGGGAGGGGACTCTGATGCCGGGGCACTGCATTAGGCACTTGCTTTTGATAAAAAGCTCCTTGCCGTTGCTTCTCCCGGGCTGCACTGCAGGGTGTGTCTCACGGCCTCTGTCCACTCCAAAGGCCTCTGCTAAGGCCCAGCTCAAGCCACGATCGTCCAAGAGCTGAGCATCTGGCTCCTGACCTCAGCCCAGGGATCCTGAGCTTCAGGCCACGGCTTGAGCCCCCCCCTCCCCCTCCGAGCCCTCGCCGTCTCTGTTGGCAGGTGTGCCTGGCCGCAGAGATCGGGCTGCTCATCAGCGTTCTCACCTTCTCTGGTTGTTTCAGTGGATGAAAGATATGTGGCGCTCGGATCCCTGCTACGCAGAATACGGAGTGGATGGGTCCACCTGCTCTTTTTTTATTTACCTCAGTGAGGTGAGTAGCTTCTTGTGGCTTTGTGGGGTGGGGGTGGACGGTCTGTTCTGTAGCTGAGCCTGGAATCTGAAAGGCTGAAAAACGGGTATTGTTTTCCCATGAAGGGCCTGTGATTCCCTTCTGCGTGACTCTCCTCTGTCCCCAAGTAGCGTGACTTTTTTTTTTCCCCCTTGAGGGAAGAATAGTCTGAGTTCACTGTTTAATTTTTTCCCAATTAAAAAAAAAAAGGTAGTAAAATACACCTAACAAAAAATGTAGTAAAACTTCTTAACCATAAAGTGTAAAGTTCAGCGGCCTTAAGTCCATTTCACACTGCGACCGTCACCACCATCCATCCATCTCCAGAATGCTTCATCTTGCCAACCTGAGACTCTGTTCCCGTTAAACTGTAACTCCACGTTCCCTCCCTTCTCCCAGCCCCGGCAAACACCCTTCTCCTTTCTGCCTCTGCCTCTGACTACTCCAGGTACTCCTATAAGTGCAGTGTACAGTATTTGTCTTTTTGTGATGGGCTGATTTCACTTCGCATAGTGTACTCAAGGTTCATCCATGTTGTACATGTGTCAGTATGTCCTTCCTTTGTAAGGCTTAATAATATGTTCCATTGTGTGTATAGACCACATTTTGTTACCCATTCATCTGTCAAATGGACCCTTGGATTGCTTCCACCTTTCAGGTATTGTGAATAATGTTGTTATGAACGTAGGTGTACACATAACTCTTTGAGACTCTGCTTTCAATGCTTTTGGGTATAGATCCAGAAGCAGAGTTGCTGGATTATATGGTAATTATATTTTTAATTTTTTGAGGAACCACCAAACTGTTTTCCACAGTGGCTGCACCATTTTACATTCCCACCAACAGTACACAAGGGTTCTAACTTCTCCACATCCTTGCCAGCACTTGTTTTTTTTTGGGTTTTTTTTTTTTTTTTTTTTTTTTTTAGTGGCCCTCTGAATGGGTTTGAGGGGGTATCTCACTCTGGTTGTGGTTTGCATTTCCTTAATGATTAGTGATGTTGAGCATATTTTCATATGCTTATTGGCTGAGTTAGCTATTTACTTACAGGCTGAATTATTTACTTTTTTTCCCCTTTTTATCTGAACTTCATTTGTACCCTTGAATTTAAATAGCAGCTTTTTTTCCTTTTTTTTTTTAAGGGCTACAGGGCATTTTACAGACCACATGGAATTTGTTACATGCTTTAGGGATCTCCATTTCACCTTTAGAAAGGTTAAGGGGATAGGATGGGGTTAAGACTTTTTCCAGCACCAATTACTGGGAGAGAACTGAGTAGGGAATGAAAACTCACCGGCTGCCCACCCCCATTATGGGCAGGGGCAGCAGCCCTAGGGGCTTGTGAAACAGACGCCAGCTAATTTCTGAGGATGTGCACTTGGCAGGCTCTTGACTGCCTTTTTTTTTTTTTTTTTTTTTTTTGATTTGCGCCCCCTGGTTTTGGTTCTCTTGCTGTTTCACCAGTAGTTTAATAACAGCTCCCTGGTGATGCCATGCAGAAAGGAGAATGCCTCCATTTTGAAGCTAAATGAAATGTTTTTGCCATAGTTTCCCTTGTGGGATTTAGGTACCTCTTCTCTCTGGTATAAGGTGACAGGGACAGTTTTGGGGATGGAGGCCAAGCCAGTATTGCTATAGGGCATGTGGCCCTGGGATCTGTGGGGTTTGTCCCTCTTCCGCACCCTTCTCTTTCTTCTGTAAGATCCAGTCAGACTTGTTTTTGCCGAGGTTTGCTCCACGGCCACCCCAGGGCCATCATGGGAACCGTCAGAGTTAGTGACAGTTAAAATGCCTCTTGGAAGCGAAAAGCACTGAGAGGTTGGGTGTGTGATGTACTTCATTAGGTGGCTGCTGGCCAGTTAACTTTGTAGCATGTATTTGAGTGTGTTTGGAGCTTGGGTGGCCTGGGGCCGGCCTCATTTTCTTCTCCAGAGGAGGAGGGCCTGGGGCTATGGGTGAACCTTCACTCTAGTGAGAAGTCAGTTAGAGGCACCTTTCCTGCCCTGAGGACAAAGTTCCTCATTTAGTTCAATTTTCAAAAGTTTTCTTCCCATTTCCATTTGATAGAATTTAGCCAGAGTCTAACCGGGCTCCCTGATGGACAAGCTGAGCTAATTTCATGCCTTCCAGCATCTCGGGGAGGATTGCTGAGGTGAAGGGAGAGAAAGAGGATTTGACGTCCTCACTCCAGCCTGGGTCTCCATCTCCCAAGCCACAGCTGGGGAGGTGTGGGAGAATGGTCCAGGTGGACAGGGGCTGTAATTATATATGACCGGGTTCCCTTCCTTTGAAACTGCCACCCTACCCCTACCGACAGGGAAGGAAGGACCTAGTTAAATGAGAGAAAAGGGAGATTCTGGTGCAGGTAAACTGAGAGGAGTGTGGGATAGATGGGGCCGCATAAAGATGTGATGGATCATGTAGACTTAATATTGGAGCCTGGGTGTTTCACTGCAGAACCTTTAACTATTATTTCTCCTTTCAAGACGTGGAAGGGTACTTCATTTGCCTCTTCTACTCTCTTCTTATGCAAATGATCAGACCTTTCTTTCTGCAACACTGAATTCAGTTCAGTGAGCACTTACTGAACATCTATTGTATTCATTGATTGTCAACAATTACTGAGGACTCATTTGCTTGGCAGCATGCTACGCATTCATTATCTTTGAAGTCTAATGGAAGAGGAAGCATGGATACAGGTAATTAAGCCAGGAAGGGGTCCTGGGAAAGAACTAGGAACTTCTTTTTCAAAGTTTTAATCTGAAAATTACCTTGAAACTCTGGCCTTTTAAAAAAATTTTCCATTTTATCAAAGCATCTTAATAGGGACCCTATAAGAGAGGAAAATTTAACCAACATGGCCACTTGAATAGGCAGTACTGCCTTAGAGCCTCGTAGCTGACTTAAGCTTCTGTTTCTAATGCTTTCTAAACACTGTGCTCTTGGAAAAGTTGTCCTCTTTGTGCCTCAGGTTCTTCCTTTATCATATGTTTTAATTTTGTTTTTAAAGGATCCTGCCATGAGAATTCCTGAGCCTATATGGGAGCATGCTTAGAGTAGAACCTGGCAAATAAATGATACTCAATTTGTAGAACTGACACTTTTATGATAGGTTTTTTGGGTTTTGCTTTTGTTTTTACTTCTTTGTGGGAAGTGGTTATTTATTTATTTTTATTGAAATAAAGTTGATTTACAATGTTGTGTTAGCTTCAGGTGTACAGTGAAATGATTCAAATGTATATAGTTATATATTCTTTTCCAGATTCTTTTCCCATGTAGGTTATTACAAAATATCAAGTATAGTTCCCTGTGCTATACAGTAGGTCCTTGTTTATTATCTATTTTATATATAGTAGTGTGTATATGTTAATCCCAAATTCCTTATTTATTCCTCCCCCTCACCTTTCCCCTTTGGTAACCATAAGTTTGTTTTCTGTGTCTATACATGATAGGTTTTTGATATTGCCATTATTTGAGTACAGTTGTGGGGTGTCACTTAGCCTGTGACGTTTTATGTGGGACCTTGATTCTGTCTTAGAATTGGAATCAATTTCTGGTTCTCATTCACCAGTCTCATTTAATTTTAGATCCCTAGGCTTCTGGTAACAGAAATTCAGCTGTTCCCCTTGACTTCCTTTGTCAGGATGTGCAACTTGTTCACAGTTAAATCGTGAACCGGATGCATGGAACAGCAGTACCCCTCTGCCGTTGCCTACATGAAATTATTAGAGATGTTTCCTAAAGCCAGTTAACTGTGTTCTAGTATTCTGTAAATCCTGGACAACATCTATGGCTTTGTGGTGATGTATTTTGTCTAGTTTTTTTTTTTCCCCTTGCTTTCTTTCCATCTTTTGTTACTTGATTTAACCTGTATCGTATGCCTGGTTGCTCTTGCAATTGGTAAAATGATTGAGAGAGACATCTTCATTTGATTTGTTTACTTGATCAGTGGATGTACTGGTGACTTTCTTTTCTTGATCCTCACTGAAGAGCCAATTCTTGTTTCCATCTATGTTTAACTGCAGAGCTTTGACAGATAATAAAAGAGGACATGAAATAAAATGTCTCCTCTGTAGTCAGTCATCGGTTAAACTGAGGCATTTAGATTCAGACCAGTCTTAGGAGATAGCGCTCTTCCTGCATTTTTCTTTCCCCCAGTTGTCTCAGTGTGCCAACTCTGCTGAATTATGGGAGTATAAACTTCTGCTTTTACCTTCACCAACTTGTAGTCTCCCAGCCTTTTATGGGAAATCCCAGGAGGTAAAGCCATCAGTGTTTCCCCTTCCATTATCCCCACGGATGCTTGTCGTATGTCTGATGTTGTATTAGGGACTGGGTGTGATGCTAAAAGTCTCGTCATTGCCCTTGTTGAGTGGCAGACAATAAGAATGAAACATGGCTGAGCTGCACTGTGTGCCTGACACCTCAAATACACAGCGTCATTTCAACCTCTCCCCAGCTCTGAGTAGTAGAGAGCCGCATCCTAGGGGCTCCGAGAAGTTAAGTTGCTTAGTGCTTCTGCATCGACCATTCCTGTTTCCCTTTCACGTCAAACGAAAGCTGAACTCAAGTGAAGTCGTTTGTCACCATTGCCTTTGCATTCAGTTCTATGCTCAAATCCACCTGTGTTTGAAATATGGCTCTAAGTTAGTTGGTTTCCATTAATCAGTCTTCATTGCTAGTTTAATACTCATAATTTTAATACTTTATCTCCCCTGCCAAAAAAAAAAAAAAAAAAAAGGGGCCAATCCTCCTGAACATATAACTCATGGAAACCAGGTACTTAGCCATTGCAAGTGGTGAGGGTTGAAAGACTGATACATTAAGCAGCCTTGCATTTCCAGATCATCGGGCAGTTCATTTTCTGTGTCTGTTTTTGTGAGCCATGTAACTAACTACTCCCGTTATAGACACAAGACCCTATAAAGTAATTACTCTAAATGTCATTGTTTCAGGTATTATTAACTTAGCCATCTGCAGAG